AGATTTGACAGCACCTAAAAACAACATTACATTTAAAATACAGTTATTTATTTAGGAATTGGAGTCCCTGGGTGGTGCAAATTGCTATCATGCTTGGCTGCTAACCTAAAGGTTAGAGGTTTGAGTCTACCCAGAGGCACCTCAGAAGAAAGTGCTGACAGTCTACTTCCAAAAAATCAGCCACTGAAAACCCTGTGGAGCACAGTTGTATTCTGGCACAGATGGGTTTGCCGTGAGTGGGAGTTGACTCAATGGTATATTGTGGGAATTACCAATTGTAGCTAAGGTTCATAGAGTAAATACTTCCATGTCTATCAGTGAAAGCTCTTATATATAATCAAGTAATTTCATTGCCTCCAGATTCATATTAGTGTTTTAACACATCTATTGAAGTTGCAGATGAGCACAAAGGCCCTAACCTAGTATGGAGAAAATATGATACGTGAAAAGGAAAACAAAATGAGTCTTTTGTGCCAATAAAAGTGGCTTTAAAAATTACCTTTTTTTTCCTTCTCTGATTTGTCCAATTTTTAACAGAGAGGGGAGTATTAAAATACAGAGATCCTCATTCTCTGTGCTTCCAACAGTTGTATCTGTTGTACAGCTCAAACCACAGAGTCTACTTACAGTAAAAGCAAAGAATTTTATTAAGAGAAAAAAACCAATTCACGAATTGGGAAAACAGAGTTGAGGATGCTGTCAACACAGTGTTCTGCTGTCTCTATCGAGTTAGAGGTTTTTATACTTAGAGAAACAAAGGAAAGGTAGGGGGTTAATGATTGATTACAGATCAGCTTCAGTTTGAAGTCCTTTGAAATGTAAAGGTCGTAAAGGTCGGCCACCTGGGTTGGGGGAGTGAGCCAGCTGATTTGGTTATTCTTGATGGTGGAACTGTGGTCAGATATTCCTGATTGTAGTCAGTTCCAGGAACAAACTGTTCACATACTCTTCTCAACTGGATTACATCCTGACTGATTTGGTTAGGTCTGAACGTATTCTTTCCGAGAGCAATTGTTTACATCTTGACATACTCTTCCTAAATGATTTTACATCCTGAGAGTGTTTCCTGGGAATGCATGTTTGGCTCCCTCATTCTGTTTGTTGACGGTGGTTAAAGGTTCCTCATTCTTTTCTAAAAGATTGATTTCAGCAAAGCACAGTGGAAACTTACAGAAATGACAGGCTGTAGTTTGGAAACAGAACCCGTGCTAAAAATCAAAATGGAGTCTGACTTTGGACAAGAACGTAGCTCTTTCCTGTTAATCAGGCACCTCAATTATTAATTTTAGGTGCTCTTACTCATATCCAGGAGCCCTGGTGGCACAGTGGTTAAGCGCTCAGCTGCTAACTGAAGGTTCGGTGGTTTGAACTCACCAGCAGCTCCATGGGAGAAAGATGTGGCAGTCTACTTCCATAAAGATTTACAGCCTTGGAAGCCCTATGGACAGTTCTACTCTGTTTCCTATAGGGTTGCTCTGAGTTGGAATCAGCTTGATAGCAATGGGTTTTTTTGGTTTTCCTCATATCCAACAGTTGTATCGGGGAGCAAACTGTCTAATAAAGGAGTTTTTGAGCCACTGATTACAGATATTCTGTTAAAAGTAAAAAATAATACTAATTAAATAAAAAGTTGTTGAACATTTAATGGAAACAATTTATTGAAAAGAATGTTACAAATTTGACACTGCCTCAGAAGATCCTGGATGTATGTAAAACCAAACAATGAAAAACCAAACCTCTTGCCGTTCGAGTCGATTCTGACTAGTAGCAACCCTGTAGGACAGAAAAGAACTGCCCCATACGGTTTCCAAGGAGTGGCTGGTGGATTTGAACTGCCAACGTTTTGGTTAGCAGCTGAACTCTTAACTACTGCATAGTAGGGCTCACGATGTGTACGGCGAATTTATAAAAATTGACACCATGTGTTTTCTTCTCGCCTGTATTTAGATTTGAGTTTTCTAGTCCCGAAGTTATGACAGTGTTGAATTATAGTTAGTTTTTAACTATATCTTTGATAACTTTATCATCATTATATTTTTCATAGCCTTCCATGTGATTAGTTGAAGGGTACAATATTCTTCAGCTACATAATACATGTTATCTTGTATACTAATATCCTCACCAGGCAATTGAAGTAAAATAAAAATCAGCAAAGGGATCCAAATAAAAAACAATCTGTTGCCATCAAGTCCATTCCGAGTCACGGTGACTGTATGTGTTACAGAATAGAATTGCTCCATAGAGTTTTTTTGGCTGTAATTTTGGCTGTTTGTGATCGTTAGGCTTTTGGTGCCAGGCTTCTCATGGTACCACTTGGTGGGTTCAAACAGCCAACCTTTAGGTTTGCACCACCTACGGACCTAGTAAAAGGATGTTGTTAGGTGCTGTGGAGTCAGTTTTGCCTCATAGCTACCCCACGTGACAGAGTAGAATGGCCTCAAAGCGTTTTCTAGGTTTTAATCTTTAAGAGAGGAGATTGCTAGGTCTTTCTCCTTGGAGCTGCTAACTCTCTGCATTCATTTAGCAGCGAGCACTTAACTGTTGCATCACCAGGGCTTCTTAGCAAAGGGATTGGGTTAGAAAGAAAGCCTAATCTGTTTTCATTGAGCTAATAAGGATGACCTGAAAGTTATTTGAATAGACCTGGGTGGAGTCTTTCTCGAAAACAAAGCATAATAATGCCTCCTGTGTCTGCCATCACTGGGGAATGTCCGAGAGCACAACAATGAATTTTGTAAAATAACGGAAGTTTAGGCCTTTAAGTCCCTAAATTCCATTTTTTGCCCTTGAGCAAACTGAATGTAATTTAAGTTTTTTTTTTTTTTTTAAATGGCTCAGGGCCATTGTTATTCTACCCGGCAGTAAAGTGTTACCCTCAGGGACTTGAGAATGTACAGGGCTGTTTGTCCCCGTTAAATGGCTACAGAATGTGTTTATTATTTCTTTCTGATTTTTCTTTTTGTTTTACTTCTTTTGATTTCTCCGGGTGTCGTTTATCATGTCTTTCTGCCTTGTGTGGGTCTGCCTGTTTCTACACTGCTGCCTAAGTTTGTGCGCGATGCAAGACCTGCCTTGTCCCCTACTCAGCTCTTCTAAGTTGGGTCTTATGCCTTGACCTTAGTCACCAAGTCTGGCTTCCACTGATGTAGCTCCCCCTCTGCCCTGCCTCCCCCACCACATCCCCTCCCCATATGCCACAGTCCAGCCCTGGGACCTCTTCTCATTGCCTGCTTCTTAAAACCCTAATTCCCACTTCCCTGTCCTGCCCCTGTAAGCCTTCTATTACCTTCCCACTTCTGATTGAGGTGGAATACCAGGAACAGATCCTCCCTTTTCTTGTAAGTATTATAACATAGGAGTTCTGTGGGAAGATTGGAAAATAAATTAGGGTGGGATTGAGAGGGAAGAGCTCTTGTATAATTTGAAGGAAATTTCCAAGTGTCTTGCAAAGCCCTGTTTTCAGAGGCAGTGGACATTGTCGTGCTCTTGTATGAGGAGGAGGAAGATGGCAGCGTGTTGTACATGGGATACTTGATAGGTTGTTTTGGAAAGAGTGCCAGGAGTGAAAGTGAGACTGGAAGAAAACTCGGGTCCAGTGGGTATTTTGTGCTCTGACAAAGTTTCAGAAAAGAGTTATATAGTAACGGTGCACTGAGTAAAAAATTATTTTCATGGATCTAAACGTTTGTCCTCCTTTGAAGAGTTCATGCTTGGCCAGATGAAACTTCCTCAGAAAGCAATTAGAAATTATTTTACCTACCCTAGTTCACTCTCCCAGGAAAGAAGTGTCATGCTGTTCCAGAGACAAGTCCCATAGCTTAGCAGTGGGAAGCAGCCAGAGCCAATAGCCATAAATTTAGTCATTTGGGAAACATTTTTAAAATGTTGTATCATTTATGATAGAATCAGCGTTATTAACCTAAGGTCTTTGAGCCCCTAAGGCAGTGGTCCTAAACTTTTTGATCTCAGGACCCTTTTCTAGTCTTAGATTTTATTTAGGACTCCAGAGAACTTTTGCTTATGTGAGTTATGTCTGTCAACATTTACCATATTATAAATTAAAACGAAAATTTTGGAACATAAGAAAACACAAGCGCATGTCTCATTAGCTGTCAGAGTGATGGAGTCGTCACATGTCTTGTAGTCTCTGGGATACTCTGCGGTACACTCAGAAAATGAGAGTGAACAATGCAGTTGTCATACTAGTATTATTATAAAAATGGTTTTGATGTTATGACCCTTAAATGCATCTTGGGGAGCCTCAGGGTTCCTCAGACTACACTTTGGAAACAGTAGCTCTGAAGAATCTATGAATAGAATTCAGGAAATTTGAGATCTTGTATAGGCAAAATTTGCATCTTTATTTTCACTAATACCTAACAAATTTATCATTTCTTTCCATTATCAATGTAGGCATAAACCACAGCAATATTAGGAGTGCCTGTGACTTTGCTACCATTAGAAATCACAGCTATGTTCCTAGCGTATTAACTTATTGCAGATATCTTGAAATATCATTTATGCTCATGACTACTTTGAAATTATTAGACATACTGCCAGATCTTATTAATGTATTAATAAAGAGTCACATATATTATTATTTTATAACTTAAAATTATTTTTATAACTGTATGTTAATATCTATTTCCTTTGCAATCCTGTGTCTTGTATTTTATGCATTTAAAGACATTATTTTGAGAAGGGATCCAATCACCAGGCTGCCAACGAGGTCCATGGCCCAAAACGGTTAAGAAATCGTTAGAACTTTAGGGACCTTAGAAGGCCTCCAGTCTACATTTTCTTTTTTCTCATGGAAATGTCTACCATGCGTTGGTTGGGATCCTGGTTGTTTGGAATAGTTGAGGTCCTGAGAGGTTGATCTGAGGAGCTGTTAGATCTTGGTGTTGAGAGACTCAGTGCCACAGAAACTCTTTACCTGCCTCCTTTCCATATGGGGTCAGCAGTGAAGTGTGCTGTATCCACTGTTGAGGAGCAGGCTGTTTTGACTGCCTTGGCTGTATAGTAGATTCTGCGATCAGGTAGTGTGAAGCCTCCTACTTTGTTCTTTTTCTTCAATAATGCTTTACTTATCCAGGGCCTCTTTCCTTTTCATACAAAGTTGTTGATTAGTTTTTTCACCTTGTTAAAGAATGCTTTTGTTATCTGGATAGAGATTCCATTATATGTTTAGATCACTTTGGGTAGAATAGACATTTTCACAATGTTGAGTCTTCCTATCCATGAGCATGGTATGTTTTTCCATTTATGTAGGTCGCTTTTGGTTTCTTGCAATAGTGTTTTGTAGTTTTCTTTGTATAGGTCTTTTCTGTTCCCGGTTAGATTTATTTCTAAGTATTTTATCTTTTTAGGGGATATTATAAATAGTATCATTTTCCTGATTTCCTTTTTGAAGTTCTTTTTGTTAGTGTATTGATCTTGTATCTTGCTACTCTACTAAAATCTATTAGTTTCAGCCGTTTTCTTGTGGTATCTTTGGGGTTCTCTGTGTATAGTATCATATTATCTGTGATAGGGGTAGTTTTACTTCTTTGTTTCCAATCTGGATGCCCTTTATTTCTTCTTCTTGCCTTATTGCTCTAGCTAGGACTTCCAGAACAATGTTAAATAGGGGTAATGATAAATGGCATCCTTGTCTTGTTCCCTTTCTCAGGGAGAATGCTTTCAGTCTCTCTCCTTTGAGAATGATGTTGGCTGTTGGTTTTGCTTAACCAAAAAAACCAAACCTGTTGCCACTGAGTTGATTCTGACTCATAGCAACCCTATAGGACAGAGTAGAACTTCCCCATAGGGTTTCCAAGGAGTGGCTGGTGGATTCAAATTGCCAACCTTTTGGTTAGCAGCTGAGCTCTTAACCACTGTGCCATCAGATGCCATTTATTATGTTGAGGAATTTCCCACCTATTCCTATTTTATTTAGACTTTTTATCAAGAATGGGTGTTGGATTTTATCAGATACCTTTTTTGCATCTAGTGAGATGATCATGTTATTCTTTTCTTTTGTTCTATTTGTGTGGTGGATTACATTGATTGGTTTTCTAATATTGAGCCATCCTTGCATACCTGTTATGAATCCCACTTGGTGGTGGTGTATTATGTTTTTGATATGATAGTGAATTCTATTGGCTAGAATTTTGTTGAGAATTTTTGCATCTATGTTCATGAGAGAAATCGGTTTGTAATTTTCTTTTTGTGTGGTGTCTTTCCCTGTCTTTGGTATCAGGGTTATGCTGGCTTTATAGAATGAATTTGGGACTAATCCTTCTTTTCTATGGTCTGAAATAGTTTGAGTAGTACTGGTGTTAGTTCTTCTCTGAATTGTTGGTAGAATTCTCCAGTGAAGCCATCTGGGCCAGAGCTTTTTATGATGTTGTTGGGAGCTTTTTTTAAATTACCTTTACAATCTCCTTTATGGGTCTGTTCAAATTTTCTGTCTCAGGTTGTGTTAGTTTAGATAGATAGTGTGTTTCTAGAAATTTGTCCATTTCCTCTAGGTTCTCAAATTTGTTGTAGTACAGTTTTTCATAGTATTCTGTTATGATCCTTTTTATTTCAGTTGGTCCTGTTTTAATGTCTTCCATCTCATTTCTTATTTGGGTTATTTGCTTCCTCTAATGTTTTTCTTTTGTCAGCTTGGACAGTGGTTTGTTGATTTTGTTGATCTTTTCAAAGAAACAACTTTTGGTTTTGTTGATTCTTTCTATTGTTTTTCTGTCCTCTATTTCATTTATTTCTGCTCTAATTTTTATTATTTCCTTTCTTCTGGTGACTGTAGTCTTCTTTTGCTGTTCACTGTTTGTTTGAGTAGGGTTAACGTTTTGATTTTGACCCATTCATTTTTTTTTTTTTTTGATGTGTGCGTTTATTGCTATAAATTGGCCTCTGAGCACTGCCTGTGCTGTGTCCCAAAGGTTTTGGTAGGATGTGTTTTAATTCTCATTTGATTCTAGGAATTCCCTTTTTGATTTCTTCTATTTCCCAGTTGTTTTAAAAGCCCTTGCTGTTGAGTCGATTCTGACTCATAGTGACCCTATAGGACAGAGAAGAACTGCCCCATAGGGTTTTCAGGAGCTGCTGGTGGATTCAAACTGCTGACCTTTTGTTTAGCAGCCAAGCTCTTAGCCACTGATCCCCCAGGGTTTCCCTGTATTTGATATTTTTCCCTTGCTTTTCCTGTTATTGATTTCTACTTATATGGCATTGTGATCAGAGAGAATGCTTTGTATTATTTTGATGTTTTGGATTTTAATGAGTGTTGCTTTGTGGCCTAAAATGTGGTCTATTCTGGAGAATATTCCATGTGTGTTGGAAAAGAGTGTATTCTTTGCTGCTGTTGGGTGGAGTGTTCTGTATATGCATACGAGGTCAAGTTGGTTGAATTTGGCCTTTAGATCTTCTGTGTCTTTGTTGAATTTCTTCCTAGAAATTCTGTCCTTCACTGAGAGTTGTGTGTTGAAGTCGCCTATTATTATTGTGGAACTGTTTCTCTTTTCAGTGCTGTTAGAGTTTGTTTTCTGTATTTTGGAGCCCTGTCGTTGGGTGCATAGTTATTTATTAAGGTTATGTCTTCTTGGTGGATTGTCCCTTTAATCTTTATGTAATGTCTTGTCTTTTATGGTGGATTTTGCTTTAAAGTCTATTTTATCTGAGGTTAGTGTTGCCACTCCTGCCCTTTTTTGGTTACTGTTTGCTTGATATATATTTTTTTCATCCTTTGCTTTTTAATATATTTATGTCTTTGTGTCTAAGGTGTGTCTCTTGTAGACAGCATATGATGGGTCATTCTTTTTTTTTTAATCTATTCTGCCACCCTTTACGTCTTTACAGGCGCATTTAAACCATTTACATTCAGTGTGATTATTGATAGGTATGAGTTTGTTGCTCTCATATTGTTGTGTTTTTTTTTTTAATGGTGCTGACATTTCCTTTGTTCCTCTTGCTTTCCTGTGCTAAGTTCCTTTGGTTCGTGGATTTTCTTTCGTTATTATAGATTTTGTGTTCAGTGAAACTTTGTTTCTCTTCTTTTTTATTCTGATGAGTAAGTTTGTTAGCTTTCTTTGTGGTTACCTTGAAATTAACCCTTTATCTTCCTATGTTTGAACCAGTCTTTTATTACTTGATATCACTTTGACTTCCTCTCCATTTGAAAGTTCTATACATAAACCATTTATATCTCCTTTTATTGTTTTTTATGTTGTTGTTATTTACAGATTGACATCTCTGTTTCCTTGTTTTAAGTCTTTAATTGTATTTTATTATTGCTAATTCTTTACCTACTGTCTTAGTCATCTAGTGCTACTGTAACAGAAATACCACAAGTGGATGGCTTCAACAAACAGAAGTTTATTCTCTTACAGTCTAGTAGGCTAGAAGTCCAAATTTAAAGTCAACTCCTGGGGAAGGCTTTCTGTCTCTGTCAGCTCTGTAGGAAGGTCCTTATGATCAATCTTCCCCTGGTCTAGGAGCTTCTCTGCACAGGAACCACAGGTTCAAAGGAAGTGCTCTGCTCCTGGCGGTGTTTTCTTGGTGGTATGAGGTCCCCCGTCTCTTTGCTTATTCTCTCTTTTATATCTCAAAAGAGATTAACTTAAGACATGATCTAATCTGAGTCCTGCCTCATTAACATAACTGTCACTAATCCCATCTCATTAACGTAATAGAGAGGATTTATAACACATAGAAAATCACATCAGATGACAAAATGGTTTACAGTCACACAGTACTGGGAATCATGGCCTAGCCAAATTGTTACACATTTTTTGGAGACACAGTTCAATTCATGACACCTAGGTTGGTATCTGACTGATGCTATCCTGTGCCCTAGACTCAGGCTGTTAACTGATGTTGGTTCTCTAACCGAAGGAGTCCCTTTAATATTTCTCGTTGGTTTGGTTTTTAAGAATTCTCTTTATTTCTATTTATATGTAAATGTCCTGATTTTGCCATTGTCTTTGAGAAAGAGTTTTTCAGGATACATCACTCTTGGTTGACAGTTTTTTTTCCCCCAAGGTTTTATGTATGTCATCCTATTGCCTTTTGTCCTGCATATTTTCTGCCAAGTAATCAGAGTTTAATTTTATTGTTTCCCCTTTGTAAGTGACTTTTCATTTTCCTTGAGCTGCTCTCAGGATTCTTTCTTTGTTTTTGTTTTTTGGCAAGTGTGATTATGATATAGCTTGGTGACTTTCTTTTGGGATCTATCTTATATGAGGTTCATTGAGCTTCTTGGATGATCAGCTTTTCATTTTTCATGATATCTGGGAAGTTTTCTGCCAGCAAATCTTCAACAATCTTTTCTGTGTTTTCCATTTTCTCCCCCTGTTCTGGTACTCCATTCATATGCACATTTTTGCCCTTGATTGTATCCTACATAATTCTTAGGTTTTCTTCATTCTTTCCTGTGATTTTTTCTGAAACAAAGTGGTGTCCATGGATTTGTCTTCAATCTCGTTGATTTCTGGCTTCCATTGTTTCAAATTTGCTCCTGTTACCTTCTATTGAGTTATCCATTTGTGAAATTTTTTGTTTATGTTTTGGATTTCTAGTTGCTAATTTTGTATGATTTCTAATTATTTATTTTGACATTTTGTTCTTATATTATTTTCCTGAATTCTTCTATTGCTTTGTCTGTGTTTTCCTTGATTTGATGTATGTTTTCATTGATTTTGTATGTATTTTTATGATTTTATCAGTTTTTTCCTTAGTTTTGCCTGTGTTTTCCTTGATCTCTTTCCTAATCTCTTGGAGAGCCCTAAATATTAGTCTTTTGAATTCTATATCAGGTAGTTCCACTGCCTTTTCTTCTACTAGAAGATCATCTGATTATTTATTTTGGTCATTTACTGGAGCCATCTTGTCCTTTTTTATATGTTTTGGTATTGTCTGCTGTCTCTGAGTCATTAAGGTATAATTGTCTTCATTTATTGATTCTGTGTTCGTTTTGTCCTACTTCTTTGTTTTGTTTTGATATGTCAGGGTGGGTGGACCAGGCCTGCTTTGGTGCTTGCTCATCTGTGGGCACGATTGGTTTTACCACCTTGTTTGGGTAGACTGGGCAGCAGCAGACAGAGTGAGCCCACTTTGCTGTACACTGTTTTGGGAGGTGGCTGAGGGTGGACTGAGCAGGTGCTGTCTGCCTCCTGATGTTGGTTTAGTGGTGTGGGAGTATTCACAACCACTTGCCAGATAGGCAAGGGTGTCGGACGAAGAGTGGTACAGTCTCACTTCCCACCATTCGGTAGCTGTTTGAGTGGCAGGTGGGGAGAGGCAGTGCGTGCCCAGTGTGGTGGCAGGACTTATCACTGGGGATGCTTTGATTGTGGTGGCATCATGGGGGCTCGCAGGCAGGGGGGTGGTACATGGGGCTAGGTGTGGGGTGTGGGGCGAGAAAGAAGAGAAAAGAGAGAAAGAGAAAAAAAAGAAAAGAAAAAGGTAGTTGGTGAGTGGGTTCAGACAGACCTGGGGGCTGGCAGGAAGTAGGGGGAGGGGGCATATGGTGCTAGGTGGGAGATAGAGAGAAAATAAAGAGAGAAAAAGAAAGAAGAAAAAAATATATGGTGGCTCAGTGGGGGCCAGCAGTTGGGGGTGGAGCAGACCCGAGGGAGCAGCGGATCAGTTTGCCAGTGACTCAGTATCAGCTGAGGTGCGGCAGAGGCTGGTGGGAAGTGGGGGAGGTGGTGTACGGGGTTAGGTGGGAGGGAGAAAGGAAAGTAAGACCAACAAAGACAAAAAAATGGTAGCATGATTGGTGATGTGGGTGGGGGGGGGTGGACCCAGGGCAGCGGTGGGCCGGTGCGCCAGTGGCACACTAGCCCTGTGGTGCATTGAGGTCCAGCAGGAAGGGGGTAATATGGCGTACAGGGCTAGCTGGCAGGGAGAAAGAAAAGGAAGAAAGAGAAAACAAATAATAAAAGTAAATTTAAGAAACTGGCTGTATGGTGGGGGCCAGCAAGTGTAGGTGGGGTGGGCCTGATGGCTAGTGGGAGGTGAGGGGAGGTGACTGGGGCTAGATGGGAGGGAGAAAGAGAAGAAAGAAGAGAAAAAAAAAATCATGACGCGGTGGGAGTTGGCAGGTGGGGGTGGGATGGACCCAGGGCAGCGGCGGGTTGGTGGCTCTCTAGCCATGGCAGTGTGGTGGGAGTTGGTGGGAAGGGGTGGGCATGGTGTATGGGGGCAGGTGAGAGACAGAAAGAAAAGGAAGAAAGGGGAAAAGATGGTGCAGTGGGAGCTGGCAGGTGGGGGCAGTGTGAACCTTGGGTGGTGGTGGGCTGGTGGCTCTCTAGCCAAAGTGGCATGGCATCGCCTGGTGGGAAAGGGTAGAGGTGGAGTACCATGCTGGGTAGGTAGGAGAAAGAAAAGGAAGAAAGGGGGAAAAAAATGATGTGCCAGGAACCGGCAGGTAGGAGCAGGGCGGAGCTGGGATGGTGTCAGGCCAGTGTCTCTCTAGCCAATTTGGCACGGCATGGTCTGGCAGGAAGAGGTGGAGGTGGTGTACAGGACGGAAGGGTGGGGGTGGGAAAGCTGTTTCTGTGGTTACCAGGTGCTCTTGTCTTCTCTTGGAAGCTCCTTGAAGTTACCTTCTCATGCTCCCTGTCCGGGATTGTTGCTGGCTGTGTTCCAAGATGGTGATGCTGTGCCATGTTAGTTGGCGGGGGACCTCCACTCCATATCTCTCCTTGTTCTCTGTTTTCCTTCAGTTTCTTCTTCCATTTGGTGTTTGATCTAGTTCTTTATTCCTTCATTTGATGCTTAGGGTTCCAGGATTGTTGTTTGTATCTGTTTTAGTTAGTTTTTCAAATCTTTGATGCAGAGGATGACATCTGTCTAGGGTGCCATGTTGGCTCCCTACAGTCTAGATTTTATCAGCAAATGAAGATTTAATGAAAATCCACTTTCCAGAGATAAATTGCTAGAAATTCCTGGGGAAAGTGCAACTGTGGCAAAAGTCTTTTCCATTCCATGGAGATGATCATTTCACACTCATATAGCATCAACAGGGTCACTCTTGGTGTTGACTGGAACCCAGCAAAGAGTGGCCCCGATCATCTTCCCATCCTGAGTTCTTCATTCACTCAACCAACCTTTACTGAGCACCTAAAATGTGTGAGGCACTATGCAAGACCTTGGATCATAGGCTCCATGCCCTGAAGGGGCTTGTGGGGGCAAATAGATACAAACAACGAATTCCTGGGTGATCAAGGCTTTAATGGAGTATGTACCAGGCATTATAGATGTACAGAGGAAAGCACACCTGACCTCCTCAGATGCTGGCAGTTGTAGGAGGCCAGGGAATGCTCCACAGAGGAGGTGGCATAAATGACCAGACCTGGAAGGGTGAATAACCATTTGCAAGGTGAAGAACTGAGAAAATGCCAGTATAATCATGGTTTAGGATCTGGTCTGGTGCATCAGGCCATTTCATATTTCGAATGGCTGGGCTGGGAGACAGCATTTTTTAAGTGCCCTGATGTAATGTTGAGAATGTTGACAATGAGGAGGTTGTGCTTTTTGTTTTTGCTTTTGAATGTAATATTTCATTTGTAACATTTCTTTAATGTGTGTGTGTATTTTAGAAAAAACTCCCAGGTTAATGCCTGATAAAGGAAGCATGTATTACCCACGGGTACAACATTACCGAGAGCTACTTGACTCCTTGCCAATGGATGCCTATACACACGGCTGCATTTTACATCCTGAGCTAACTGTGGACTCCATGATCCCAGCTTATGCTACAACAAGGATTCGCAGTATGTAAAAATCTGTCTTGTGTTTATGTTCACTCATTTTGGAGACCTAACTTTTCTCATGGTCATTGAGAGAAGACTGGGAATAGGGTTGTTCAGTTCTTCATGGACGTGCATGTTGTAGATCAGTTCATGCACCAGTCTGATTAATCTGTGCTTTAGCAATTCAACTGGATGGTTCAACACTTCAATTGTCTATAGACCTGATTTTCCATCTCTTGGCATTCAGTGCCAAGGTTAGATAAAACTCAAAGAGTGGCCTTTGAAGAAGCAAAGAACATATTTCCATGGACAGATGAACTGGGAATCAGGAAAGCTGGAACTGTCTGGGATTAAGTGTAACTGAGTTAACATTTCTGGTCCTTAGTTTTCCTTTCTGTTATATGAGTGAGCTGGACTACAGGGTGTCTAAGCATTGCTCTACCTCTAAATTCAGTGATTGCAGATTATTAGAGATTGAGTTGTGATATCCAGCTCTCTCATTTCTTCCTGTCATGAGGATAGAGTTGGTGCCTGAGACGGGAAGCAGAAGGAACTGTGCTCTACAGCACAGGTAATTGGGGATAGGAAGGTAAGGACAGGTGGCAGTGGTCAGACTCGGGGGCTGTTTGACTAGGAGTGTGAGTTCTTGGTCAAGTGACAGTTTACATGTATCCAGAGTTCTGGACTGTACTTACACATATACAGTCCTACTACATCTTACATTATTATGAAAAGCAATTTTACAATTTAAAAGACATTCTTAGCATCTATCAATCTGTCTATATATCTGTCTGTCTTTCTGTCTGTCTGCCTATCTATCTCAGGTCTTTAGTCTTCACAACATCTTGCTGAAATTTTATGATCTCTCGCACCATAACAAAATGAGGCTATGAAAATTTAAGTAGCTTTTCCAAGGCCACATTACTCATTAGTGGTTGAGTTAGAACTCCAACCAAGGTCTTCTAAATCCAATAACTATGTTCTTTCCATTACATCATACCTCTCCTTTATCATTTTCTTATTCAGTCGGCCATTTTTCTTTTTGATGCTCTTCCTACTGTCTGCTCTCCCCAGCTCCCCTTCTTTCTTGCCCTTTTGCTCCACTCCCGTCCCTCCTTCTCTCCTCTCCCCCCTTTCCTTTCTCTTCTCCTCTCCCTTCCCTTTTTTCCCCAGCCCTCTCCTCCTGCTTCTCCCATTCCTCTTGTCCCTTCTCCTTTCCGTAAGTACCGACTATATGATTTGAAACAAGTATTCTGGCTACAGTTCTGTCGCCTGTAATTATTATTTTTTAAATAAGGCCTTTCCTCCCCCCTCGTATAGAAATTCATTATAGAAGACTTGGAGAGTACTGGGAAGTAGAACAGCTAGCCTGCACTGAGCACTTGTTACGTGCCTAGCATTGCTCTAAGTGCTTTTCACGGTGCTTCTCACTGAATCCTCATCCTGTGCAGCAGCTGCTGTTAAATTTCTGTTTCACAGATGAGGAAACTGAGGCACAGAGAGAGTACGTGTAAGGCAGGGGCAGGGTTCTGAACCTAGTGTCTTAACATCAAGGGTCCTCTCTTCTCCTTGTTTCTGACATAGAGGGGACAAAATGATTTTATTTCTATTTCAAAAATGTTTTATTATCAGGCCAAATAGGTAACACAGAATCTGAACTGAAGAAACTTGCTGAAGAAAATCCGGATTTGCAGGAGGCCTACATCGCGAAACAGAAGCGCCTTAACGTGAGTAAACCGGGGCTCCCTTCAAATGACGTTCACTGTGTTAAATATTCTATTTTTGGTAACAAGTCACTATTTCTAGAACATTTTCTGTTAAATATGGAAATTCACCAGTATACCTGTTACCTTTGGCTTGTGCTCTGCTTTTAGAAAGAATTGTCCTTATTAGATTTGATATTCAAGCCTCATAGCAATTGTTTAAAAAGCAGATGTTACACGCGGTGGTTGCCAAGGAAAGTTATCAGCTGTAAAAGCAAGTCAATACACTGTTCTAGGAATCTGTTCTTTCAGGTATTCCTGCCACTTTAAAGCCTGGCTACACCTACGTACCTCTACATGTTGTTGTTGTAGAGCTCATCGTTGGCCCCTTCCGTCCGGCCCCCTACAGGAGTGGGGCTTTGCTTTATGGTCAGTCTTCCTCTTTCTGTTGATTCCTTCTCCATGTTCCAACATGGTGACAGGCTTCTACCATATTAAAAGTACAGCACACATTCACATTGCCAGCTGGCTCTCAACTTCCCATCTTTATGCTATCTGAACTAAGTGAGCTTCTCAGAGAAACATCTATACATACTGTCACATTCTTTACTTTCCACTCAGTGCAATCAGATTTCCACCTCATCTCTGACCCTTCAGTTATTCATTAATTTAAGCCCCATTGTGGTTCAGATCCTGGGTTTAGTGTTGGGAATACAGTTCTTTGCCTCAGGACATTAGTTTGGGAGCAGGATATACTCATATCCCGTAGGTGCAATGATGTAGGTATGTTTTGGGGTACAAGTGGGGCTGTAAAGAAGGGAGTGTCATTTTAACCTTGAGAGATATGAACAGCATCAGTGAAAGAGGAGCTTAGTCTTAGAAGATGGTAGGTTGTTCAGTGGGTGGGAAAGAAGGACAAAGGTCTCCCCAGAGAGAGCAAAGGCACAAAGGTGACTGCACGAGCTTGAGTATAGGGTGTGAAGTCCCGAGGAGAGTCAGAGGCTAAATCAGGGAAGACCCAGAACACCACACTGAGTTTGGACTTGACCCTGAAGGCAGGCGTCTCAGAGCCACTAAAGTTAGGAAATTTTTGAGTTAGAAAAGATAGAAACAACAGTTTGGTAAAAGTGTGGAGGATGGATTGGAGGCAGTAGGACCTGCTGGCAAAGTGTATTCTATCCAGGGAAGCAGAGGTTAGAGCCTAAACGAAGTTCGGCAAGTTGGGATGGGGAGGAAAGGAGGAATTCTCAATGTTTTCAGGGGGTTGGATATGGGGGTCTAGGTTCTGAAACGATGTTGGAAGCGTGAGGGAATGAGAGGCTTATAACGTGATTCCCAGGTTTCTTGGATGATTGGGTAGTTGATGGTGTAAGCGAGTAAGATTGTAACTGTGAGAGCAGGTGGTAGAGGAGTAGGGATGGGAGGGATGAGAATGGCTAAGGTTTTAGACATGTAGCATGTCAGATTCCTGGGGAATATTTAGGTTTTGATATCTAGTAGGAAGTTGCAACAGAAATAGATTGGTCTGGGCTAAAGGTACAGATACTTAATTTTCATCACAGAAACCAAGCAAACAGATGAAACTATTCAGAAACTCAGGAAGAGTAAAAAGGAAAGATTGAACTGTGGGGAGCGCCAACTTTGAAAGCAGGGCTGAAACTGTTTTTCAGGGTATCAATCCTCTTTGAAAATCTGATGAAAGTTATGGACACTCGCAGCAGAGATACGCATATACCTTCATAACCTTAGCATGTACAACTTCAAGGGGCTCTTGGAGCTCCTACTTAATCCCTATTCAAGAATTTCCAAGGGACATGGATCTCGTATTAAGAACTCCAGTTGTTAATGATAGACTGAGGCGGATTCCATGAAAAAGGCAGAAATAGGAGATGGCGAATGGGAAGAACCACGTGACAGCAGTCCAAGGAAGAAGAGAAATTTAAGATGCTAGAGAAATTTAAGGGCTTCAGAGCTTGGCTGCTAACCAAAAGGTCAGCAGTTCGAATCTACCAGTTGCTCCTTGGAAGCCTTATAGGGCAGGTCTACTCTGTCCTGTAGGATTGCTATGAGTTGGAATCGACTCCATGGCAAGGGGTTTGGTGTTTTTTGGTTTGGTCTCTATTTTTTTTTTTTACACGCTTAAGTAACTTTTTTTTTAATTAGTCAAAGCTGCTCGACCATGACAATGTCAAATATTTGAAGAAAATTCTTGATGAATTGGAGAAGGTTCTGGATCAGGTTGAAACTGAGTTGCAAAGAAGAAACGAAGAAACCCCAGGTAAGTTCTTATTTATATACTTTTTCTCTTTCCCTCAACATCAAGAGTATTTATGGGAATATTCCTACTTTTTACTCAAAATATTTTGTCACTTTTTTTTTTTTTTTTGGTTAGTTGGTAGTTTTAATTACTATAGTAGCAGTAATATTGAATTCAGGAAAACCCAGGCATGTAATTGTAACTCAGTCTGCATCTAAGCGAAATATGACTGGTAAGGGATTTTTCTGTACAATTTACATAATGGTTGGGAGGTTATTTCTACCTAACAAATTCATGAATTTGTAATTACAATAGTGAGTTTGGTTGAATAACCTGAGTAATGCTCCCTCTAGGTTTTTCCTTAGGCTAGTGGGAGAGCACTTTGCAATCTAAAGTAAAGCGTACAGTGCCTGCCTCCCCCCGCACGACGTGTGTATCTGCAGGGCTGGCTGGGGGCATCCACGTATTGTACCTGTGAGTCTAACTTCGTGATTTAGACATCGCCCAGGTGTATGCTCGTGGGCCTTTTGCACTACTCTGACTACAACAAAGTTCAAGTGCATGTTACCTGATACCCACTTCACAACAGCAGCTCTCTTCTGCATTAAATAAATAACTAAGAGCAGAAAATCCAACTTGGTGGATTTTCCTAAAGCTCACCTGTTGTTTTCCTAAACCAGAAGGAAGTGTTTGTTAACTTCTCTGCCGAGACCTTAAAAAATGGTAGACGGGCTTTGAGCGCAAGTAGGTTTCACCCGGGGACCTGACTCACTGACAGATGTCAAGCAAGTCTCTCTCAGCTTGGGATACATTTGCACGGACTTTTTTTTAGCATAAAATTGCTCGCTGAGGGCGATCGCCTTCATTTTTACTACTTGGACTTGCCCTTAGGGCCGAGCCCACAGATACCAGCTAGGGTCTCTCTGTCTAGTGCTTGCCTCTGACTCTCCCTGTCCCTTTCTCTGATTAGAAGAGGGCCGTCAGCCCTGGCTCTGTGGTGAATCCTTCACCCTGGCAGACGTCTCGCTCGCTGTCGCACTGCATCGACTGAAGTTCCTGGGCTTTGCGAGGAGAAACTGGGGAAATGGAAAACGACCAAACCTGGAAACCTATTACGAGCGTGTCTTGAAGAGAAAAACATT